ATAAGATATCCCAATTTTGCCATCTTCTTCCTACCAGTATATAAATATTGAGATATTTATTGTCCAATCTCTAGATATGTTTATTATTATACAGTGAAGAGTAAGAGTGAGCTCTGGAATGATAATACAGGTAGAGCATTCCAAGTCTGAAAATCTGAAACCCGAAATGCTCCAAAATCTGAAACTTTTTGAAAGCCAACATGGTACTCAAAGTAAATGCTCCTTGGAGTATCTCAGATTTTGGATTTTTGGATCTGGAATGCTCAGCCAGTCAGTGTAATATAAATATTCCAAAATCAAAAGAGAATCCAAAATCGAAAACGCTTCTGGTCCCAACCATTTCAGATGAGGAATACTCAATCTGTATTAGGTTTTTTAAGGTATTAACATACATATGATTTAATGAAAACCTTCCCAAAGAGAGTTTTAACTATATTTCTACATATCAGTTATCTCTAAATGTACGTACATATTTTTTCCTAACAATATTTATATTTGGTGTATCCAGACAACCAAGATCTTCTTGTAAGAATCCCTCTCAGCCATATTTATAGTAATAGTAATCAAAAAAAAAAACACAGGATTATGGATAAATAAACCAACAGAGAAAAGAAAGGAATTAGAAAGAATTAGAGATTAAAAAAAAAAAAAAAAAACACAGGATTATGGATAAATAAACCAACAGAGAAAAGAAAGGAATTAGAAAGAATTAGAGATTAGAAAGAATAGCCAAATTCTTAACAAAATAAGTATAAGAGAAATGGTTAGTTACAAAGGCAGTTTATTTTCAAGGTTAAGTGTTTAATGTAATCAGATATAATCTTTGCGTGGAAGAGGAGGAAGGGACTTTTCATGTTATGTTGTCTAGACTTGAATAAAGAAATGTTGTCTAGAAATATTGAAAGGTATTTCAGTCTTTGCTTAAATGCTCCCAGAGGTAGCAGGCTGATTTCCTTGCAAGCAGTCTATTCCATCCCACTGTAAAAGTGGGGAATAAAAATTAACAATTTAGCCAGGTGCAGTGGCTCATGTCTGTAATCCCAGTGCTCTGGGAGGCTGAGGTGGGTGGATCACCTGAGGTTGGGAGTTTGAGACCAGCCTGACCAACATGGAGAAACTCCGTCTCTACTAAAAAAATACAAAATTAGTCGGTATGGTGGTGCATGCCTATAATCCTAGCTACTTGAGAGGCTGAGGCAGGAGAATCGTTTGAACCAAGGAGGCGGAGGTTGCAGTGAGCCAAGATCACGCCATTGCACCCCAGCCTGGGCAACAAGAGCAAAACTCCATGTCAAAAAAAAATTAACAATTTAAGACTATAATGCTTTCAAATGGCCTATAACTATGTATTATGTGATGCTAATACAGTTGCTCAACATATTATTTAGTAGTTGCTCAATAAAATCTATTTCCAAGCTTTTCTGACATACAATAAAACTGTTTTCTACCCTTTTCTATTGTCGACAGTTTTTATACTATTCTCAACTGAGGCTGTAACATTTAAAAAACATTTTTTTGAGACAGGGCCTCACTTTGTTGCCCAGGCTGGAGTACTGTGGCACAAGACAGCTCACAGCCTTGACCTTCTGGGTTCAAGTGATCTTCCCACCTCAGCCCCCCAAGTAGCTGGGATTATAGGCATGCACCACCATGCCTGGCTAATTTTTAATTTTTTTTGTATAGATAGAGTCTCCCTGTGATACCCAGGCTGGTAAAAAATTTTTTTTGGAGAAGTTTTTTCACAATCTTTCACATGAGCAATATTAAAATAATTTTTTGGGAATTAGAAAGGAGGAGTGTGTTTTCCACAATAGGTAATTTTTTATTATGGTGGGCAGAACTATCTTTAAGCTAATATGAATATGAACAAGCCTAACCCTGCTAGGACAAGAGGTAATGAGATAAACTTTGTAAGATCGGTATTTTCAAAACCAACTGTAGACTTATACAAAGTTAACCTGTAGTTTTGTGACTTTCTCCTTTAAGACTGCCCTTGGTCTCCATTTTAATATCTTCTCTGCAGTATAGCATGAAGGGCTTACAATACTAGGTAGCTATAAGAGTACATTTATTTATATAACAAACATTTATTAAGTATCAAATGTGTCAGGCATCATATTAGATTGTAGCCATAAAAAGTTGAGTACAACACACTGCCCTCTCTCAGGCAGGAAGACGTCATGAGAACAAATATTAGGAAATAGTGTTGATTCTGATCTATGTTCTGACTAGGTATAGTTTTAGCACAGAGGAGAGAATGATGGGGTTGGGGACAATAGGTCAGAGAGGTCTCAACAAGAGTGATGATACTTGCATTGGGCTGTGGGGGAGCTGGCCAGCTGGAAGGCATTTATTATTCCACTTTATAGTCTAACCAAGCTAACTCTTAAAGGGCTTATTGTTATTAAGTGTTCACTATGTGCCAGATATTGTCTTGATGCTTTTCATGTAATAATGAATTTATTCTTTACAAGAATCCCATGAGGTCAAGGATGTCATTCTCATCACTTCATAGATGAAACTAATGCACAGAGAGGCTAAGAAATTCCCAACATCACACAGTTAATTAACTGGTAGAGCTAGACTTTGAACCAGGTCATTCTATTGCTAAAGCCCATGTCCTTAACCACTAAGCTATGCTGCATCTCAGTATTGATTGTGGTAATGTACAAAGAGATGGCTGGAGTAATCTTAGTCAAACATTGCTCTAAATTGTGAAAAATTGGAAAGAACCCAGTTGTAAAACGAGGACATTGGTTACTAAATTATCTATACAATAGAATGTTTTGTAGCCATTAAAAATTTTGCAGGAGAATAATCAATGATGGGAAAAGATGTTCTGATCATTGATCTTTTTAAAAAACTACTAAAAAACAGTATGGTTTAATCTAAAGTATATATAGATGTTTGTGTGTGTGCGTGTGTGTATCCATAGAGAAAAGACTGGAAAAATTTATTTATCCAACAAATATTTATTAAGCACTTACCAAGGACCTGGCCAAATCCTGAGAATACAACTGTGATCAAAACAGCCTAACTTGGCTTATCCATTCCACTCCGGATGTGCTGACCCCTGCGATTTCCCCAAATGCGGGAAACTTGACTGCATAATTTGTGGTAGTGGGGGACTGTGTTTGAGGGGGAAAAAAAACAATAAAACAGCCTACCCTGTTAAAGCTTATAATATCAGAGGAAGGAAAAGTGAGTGGTAGACAAGGCAATTATAAGAGTATGACTAGTGCAGCAAGGGAAGAAGCACAGTGTGCTATGGGAGTAACTGAGATGGACGTCTCTGGGACTGAGTCACAGAAAGCTTACTAGAGGAAAGTATGCTTAAACTGAGACCTTAATAATAAGCAAGAGTTAACTAAGCTAATGGCACAACAGGCCAGAACAATTAGAAAAAAATCAGTTATGGAACGGTCCCAATGCTGTCCTTTTGCTCAAGATTATAATTGTATAACTTCACAAATTTGTTTTTATTTCACAAGCCTTATGTTCCATAATTAGAAGGCCAATTGAATAATATATGTTCCATAATTAGAATTCCATAATTTGGAGGCTAATTGAATAATAAAATGGGCTTTTTCTTTTCTTTTCTTTTTTCGAAACACTGGCTTGCTCTGTTGCCCAGGCTGGAGTGCTGTGGTGTGATCGTGGCCCACTGCAGCTTCCACCTCCCTGGGCTCAGGTGATCCTCCCACCTCAGCCTCCCCAGTATCTGGGACTACAGGCATGCATCACCATGCCCAGCTAATATTTTGTATTTTTTTGGAGAGACACAGTTTCACCATGTTGCCCAGGATGGTCTCAAACTCCTGGGCTCAAGCATTCTGCCCACCTCGGCCCCCAAGTTGTTGGGATTAGAGGCAATGAGCCACCACACCTGGCCTAAATAGGCTTTTTTCTAAAGTGATGCTAAATTGAATATGAAGTGCTAATTGTCACAATGTAACATTTATATTAAGCTTTTTTCACATTGAACTTATACCAAATTATATATTAAGTTTTACATAAAAGACACCAGAATTTTTATTTCTTTCATAATATCCATAGGAGAGGTATTACAATGCCCAGCATATACTACGTACTTAATAAATATTGGTTCATTTCTGGGTCTAAAGTGAGAAGTTTTCAAATTTGTTTTCTTTCTGATGATTTGGAAAACAAAGTCTTTGACTGAGAAATGCCATAATTCAAGCTAAAGTACTTCTTTATTTAAAAAAATGATAGCCCTACACCTGTGACTTTAAAACTAGCTCATTTTGGACAAAGGACATGAACAGATAATTCGCAAAAGGTATATAAACAGCCATGAAACATGAAGAAATGCTCATCATCACTAATCATCAGAGAAATGCAAATCAAAACCACAGTGAGATAACACACACCTATCAGAATAGCTATTATTAAACAGTCAGAAAACAATAGCTGCTTAATGAGGCTGCTGAGAAAAGGGAGTGTTTATACACTGTTGGCAGGAATGTGAATTAGTCCAGCCACTGTGGAAAGCAGTCTGGAGATTTCTCAAAGAAATTAAAACAGAGCTACCATTTGACCCAGCAATTCCATTACTGGGTACATGCCCCAAGGAGAATAAATCATTCTACCAAAAAGATAAATGTACACATACATTTATCACTGCACTATTCACACTAGCAAAGACATAGAATCAACCCAGGTGGCCATGAATAGTAGATTGGGTAAAGAAAATGTGGTACATATACACCAGGGAATACTACACAGCCATAAAAAAGAATGAAATCATGTCCTTTGCAGCAATGTGGGTGGAGCTGGAGGCCATTATCATAAGGGAATTAATGTAGAAACAGAAAAACAAAACCACATGTTCTCACTTATAAGTGGGAACTAAACATTGGGCACATATGGACATAAATATGGGAATAATAGACACTGCTGACTACTAGAAGGGGTAGTGAGGGGAGGGTGGGTTGAAAACCTACCTGTTGGATACTATGCTCACTACCTAAGTGACAGGATCTGTAACTCAAACTTCAGTGTCATGCAATATTCCCAGGTAACGAACTTGCACATGTACCCCTTGTGTCTAAAATAAATGTTGACGATTTTTTAAATGGCTCATTTTGATGTATGATCATTAATTTTAGGTTATCTATAAAGAGGATAATACAATAGGGTAACTACACAATATAGATACTAAAAGACATAGAATGGCACATCTGTTGACAACCAGCATGCCCACTACCCTTTTTGAGCCTAAATCACCTTGACGTAAAAGCAGGTCTGGATGGGAAAGCTTTCATATCCAACTGTAGGCTGAGTTAGGTGCCTGTTCTCAGTGTTCTTCTAGGATACTGTGTATACCTCTATCATAGCATTTCTTAACTGTCCAAATTGGAGTAACATGTTTTTTCACACTTCTCCTCTAGTGGAGATTGAACATTAAAAGGGTAGGGGCTATGTCTTGATGCTCAGCTCAGTGTCTGGTATATAACAGGCACTCATTATATAGTTATCAAATGAGTCAAAGTAGATACTAATGCCATTCCTTTGCCTAGAGGAACAAATGATCGGGATTGTATGAAATCTTTATTTATGTAACATAGATGTATCAAAGTCTTAGGTTCCTCAAATCTAAGAGAAAGAAAATCTATGGTTTTTTAAAGACGGCCTTGCCATATCCCAGTGCTCTCTTGACCTAAAGTTGAAATGTATATATTAATTGAAACACATACAGCTCTATTAAGTGTTCTAGTAATGTGTTAATTATATATGGTTCTATCTTTCCTTCTCCTATTCAGGACTTGTGCCATTCTCATTGCGATGAGTCTGTCATCCAGAAGAAGATTACAACTATTATCAACTGCTTTATTAACTCCAATATTCCACCAGCTTTACAAATTGACATTCCAGTAGAGCAAGCCCAGAAGATTATTGAACACCAGAAGGAATTAGGACCATATGTATTTAGAGAGGCACAGGTAAAAGATCAGGGCATGTGGCTAAGCATATTTTAAAATAGATTGACAATCTTTTCATTATTTACTTATTTTGAGATGCAGTCTTGCCCTGTCGCCCAGGCTGGGGTGCAATGGCGCAGTCTCTATTCACTGCAACCCCTGCCTCCCAGGTTCAAGTGATTCTCCTGCCTCAGCCTCCCAAGTAGCTAGGATTACAGGCACATGCCACCATGCTCGGCTAATTTTTTTGTGTGTCTTTAGTAGAGATGGGGTTTCACCATATTGGCCAGACTGGTCTCGAACTCCTGACCTCGTGATCCACCCACCTCAGCCTCCCAAAGTGCTGAGATTACAGGCATGAGCCACTTCGCCTGGCTGACAATCCTTTTAAAGATAGATATCCCTTCTAAGTGCAGGAGTTGAAGAAAAACAAACAAAAAAGATAGATATCCTTTTGGACCAGGCATGGTGGCTCACGCCTGTAATCCCAGCACTTTGGGAGTCTGAGGCAGGCAGATTATTTGAGCTCAGAAGTTTGAGACCAGCCTGGGCAACATAGTGAAATTCTGTCTCTTAAAAAAAAAAAAAAATCTTAACAAAAAGTAAATAAAAATAAAAAAGATATCTTTTTTAAAGCTTGTAAATTATTTATATTTGACAAGGTTCCAATCCTCCCAATACTGGGACTTACTCTATTTAATTTAAATAATCTTTGCATATGCCACTGAAATATAAAAAACTACTAATTTACATGCAAATATCTTGCATGATCATATACAGCAAATAAAATTAAATATTGCCATTTGGCTTTCCATGGTTACCATTTTTGTTTTTAACTTGTTAGACTCCCGCTAATTCCTCCTTCCTTTCCCACCATTCATATTTCCTTTTAAAATATTTGCTACCACACAAATGTGTAAAATATGTGTGCCCCAAGATTTGTGTATTTTTAAAGATTGGAATATTCACATAGCTCATAAAATAAGTGAGAGGAGATTTAAGTACTCTACCAACATAAAGTATACAAACTCATGAAAGGAAAATCATGCCTGTTAACCTGCTCAAGTTACTTCTTTTTAAGATAAATAATAGAAAACAGTGACTTGGTGAACATAATTTATTTGCATTTTAAAAAGCCTTTTAGTGATGTTGTTCCTAAAAAATGATTAAGAAAAATAAATTATAATAGGGGTAATAGGGAAGGCCATGTCATGAATGAAGTGATATGAAACAGAGATTTAGGGTATTATTGCCCTTGAGCATGGAAAAAGGCAATTATTTTTACATTCATTTGTGAGCCAGCTGTGTTCTAAGTCCTCTAAGGAACTAAAAGTAGACTCACAATCCAAATTATGCATTAAAATAGGCAGAAATATAGAGGAATGATTGAGGATGTGCTACAGAGAAATGGTGAAAACATGGTGTCAGAATGGTAACATCTGTTAATGAAAAGACCCTAGCGATAGCTTAGCCTAGTCTGGGTTTCCTGGTAACCAGGCCTGGACTTACCCATCGATATCAAAGGCCTTGAATCTGACCATAAATGTCTGGAGCTGCTGATGCCGGTTAGTTCCAGTATACTCTTCAGGGATTGCAACCACAAAAGTTTATTGGAGTCCTCTTGCCTATGACTTCTACCTGATTTTCTAAAAGGGAGTCCTAGGTATCTTAAATATGGATGTTAGAGCATCTGAAAATAAATAATCTTTTTTTAGGGGCCTCATCCCACTGAATCTGTTGTTATCCTGTTTTCCCAAGGAAGCTTGGAGAATGGCAGGATACAAGCCACTGATCTGGTTGGCCATCTCCATGTCTTCCCATTCCTTCATTTCTTTACCTCCATTATCTAATCCGTTCCTAAAACTTGGATTAGGAACAGGTCAGGGCTTATGGCTAAGAGATCAGGGCATGTGGCTAAGCATATTTTAAAACAGATTGACAATCCTTTTGTAGATATCCTTTTGGGCCAGGCATGGTGGCTCATGCCTGTAATCCAGCACTTTGGGAGGCTGAGGCCTCCTTATTATCTGTCATTCTATCCACTCCTCCATTCGACTACCTCACTTTGGTTCTGCAGCATGACCCATGTGTATTACAGAAACTCCTTGCCTCTGGGTTCTCTCCAGGCCATCCAGCTCAGGGCAGACACAGCAATCCTTTCCCAATGTATATCTGATCATGTCACTTCTCTGCTTAAAATATTTCAATTGCAGCCGGGCACACAGGCTCAAACCTGTTAAGTAATCCCAGCACTTTGGGAGGCCAAAGCAGGAGGATTGCTTGAGGCCAGGAGTTCAAGACTAGTCTGGGCAATATAGTGAGCTCTTGTCTTTACAAATAATAGTTTTAAAAATATTTTGATTCTTCCCATTGCCCTCAGAATGAAGTCCATACTCCTAGATATCTCTCTAGCTACATCTTTTACCACACCCCACTGTCTCTGCCCTAGTCTAATTGAAATAATTGTAGTTTCATAACTGGCTCTTACTACTTTCTGTCCTGAGCTCTTTGCAGTATCATCTCTCCCTTGTTTTTATCCCTGTCATAACACTTATCACACTAAATTGGAGGTGATTACTCTCATGTCTGATGGTCTCATTAGATTGTAACCTCTTTGAGGACAGGGAATGGTTCTTATTTATCTTTGTGGCCCAAATGCCAGGCAAAGAGAAGGCATTGTTTGAATACATAAATGAATGATGTAAGACTAGATCTGTCATAACAGAAAGGAGTAAGATCAAATTGGAAATGAGGGCAAAGTTGTGCAAAAGGGCTGAATAGTAAATTTAAAACTGCTGACTGTTTTAGCATTGGTATCAGCGTAACTTCTGTCTATTCCTCACTCCCACTCCCTATAGCCTGAAAGTTTGCATTACCCAAATTTTCACCGGCCCCATTTGCTTATACTAAAGCCATTACTTATCTGCTGGCAGTGAGTAAAGCAGTTCTATATTTATTAGAACATTTTCTTATCCACAATTTGGTTATCTTTTAAGATTACACAGGTACAGGGTAATTTTAATTAACAGTACATATTAACCTACAATCTCAATTGCAACGTTTAACCACAGAGCAATTTTATGCCATCTATTGGAAAATTGTGTCCTAATTGGGTGACTTTTAAGAAAGCCTTCTAAATGGAAATATGTATATTCAAGAATGGGGAGTGACTCAGGTTTTGGAAAGATAACTGGGAAGTTTGATTAACAGAAGAGGAGGAGTATTTAAGTTCATAATAAAAACTACCATGATCCCCTAACATTGGAACAGGGGATTACTTAATTAAATGTGTGGCAGGTAAATGTAAATGAAAATATCTTAAAAGCCTGTGTTTCGTCAAATAAAGCATCTCTAGATTTTACATTTATACTCCCAAGAGGCCTAGAATTCAATAACAAAACTGTATTTTAAAAGGAGTGAATAATTTTAGTATTACTAATAACATTCACGTATGGAAAAGAGGAGTAATAAAATATGCCATTTCACTGCAGCATTTATTTTTTAAAGATTCCTCTTTTCCCCTATGAGTTGGCTCGCAGCCTAATAGGATGCTTCATTTTTCTCCAGGGCATTAGGTAAAGGCCCTTCCTAGCAATAAGATGTTGGACTTGATCTGATGTGGCAAGTCCTACCTTCTTGGAAGTAATGTATGCCTCTGGAACTAATGGAAAAACTTGGCATGAGAATGAGAACAACTATTCTTCTCTCTATAAATATCACAATTAATCACTTAAAATGTCCTCATAGAAAGCGTTTGTCCAGGATACTGTTCTGCTTTTTAAATGTTACTTTTCTTGCTCGTACATAAAAGAGAGATTATATCGTTTAAAAGTTACTCAAGATTTATTCTTAGATCTGCAGCTTTGTTTAAGAGCTTTTCCAGAGGCAAAATGGTATTTCCTTTCTCTAAAAGAAAGAAAAGAGGGAGGGAGGAGTTTCCTTGATGAACTAGATTTTTGGAATACTTGCATAAAACAGCAGAGTGTGTGGCAGATCAACTAGTATATGTTTTAAAAGAAAACATAAATTTCTTATTTTAAAAGACCTAATGGATTATTTATTAATACAAACAATTGGTTAGGGAAACATAAAGAATAAAGTGACTTTTAAGTGTATTTAGTGTATGTTTTTTTTTAAAGAAAGACTTCTCATTGGTAATAAAAACCATTGATGATAAGCATGTGCCAAGCAAAATGTCTGCATCTTATACCAAGATGTCTGGAGACAATAAGTTGGAGGAAACATGGTGTATATTAAAGATAGAATAGTTCATCTATGATTATGGTGATTAGAGTTTAAATTGGTACATTTGTATAAAATTGTAATCTGAGACTTCATTTTTTTATACAGATGACAATTTTTGGGGTTCTGTTTAAATTCTGGCCTCAGTTCTGTGAGTTTAGGAAGAACTTAACAGATGAAAATATTATGAGTGTTTTAGAGAGAAGACAAGAATATAATAAGCAGAAAAAAAAATTGGCAGTCCTAGAAGACGAAAAATCTGGAAAGGTGAGACAAGACTCATTTTGGATTTTATCAGACTTTTAAAAAGTTGTGATATATGTATGTGAATTATAGAGTAATTTTGGCTGGAGTTATATAGAGAGAAGTTATGGAATACAGATACTAGTGGATTTTAAGCCTTTAGTCAGAAGCTTTGGACTTTTTTGGAATTCCTCTAAATTCATCTCAAATGTCATCTCTTCTATGTGAAGGCTTTCTTGACTCTCTATGGCAATGCAAGCAACTTGTATCTGCTGCAATAACGTTCCTCCCCCTTGTAGAGCATGCTTTAGATAGTCCTATGTTTAAGTTTTTGCATCTGTCATGTTCATTGGACTAAGATCCTCAATGATAGTATCTGCCTTATTCATCCATGTTTTATAAGCCCTTACACTAGTGCCCAGCACATGCTCAATTATTGTTTATTGAAAAAATCAGGAAATGAATGAACAAATATTATATACTGGCAGGGGCAACATTTCCAATATTAAAATTACAGGATGACACATTGTGAAATTTGTAAATGAGTCACAAATTGGCCAGCTTCCCCGTTTGTCTACTATCTGTTCATTCATTCATTCATTCATCTCTCTCTCTCTCCTTATATTTATCCATTTTAATTAAGAAGGGGTAATTGCTCCCAAATAATGTGTTTCATCTTATTTATAAGTTTATGCCTATTTTATTTTTTTAAATAAATGTAAAAGACACCAAATTACACAAAGGTATCATGAATACTCACATTTATTTGTACAAGCCAAAACACTTTTTAACATTTCGCTTTATTTTTTCTTTTCCCCATTAGAAATAAAACATTGCAGTTAGAGTAAGATCTAGTAACCTCAGCCCTGAGTTCTATAACCCTTTCTATACCCAGAAGCAGTCATTAGGTTTCAGATATATTTGTCCAGCTCTTTTTAAAGACAGTATTTCATGCATGTGAATGCATTCATAAACAATACAGATTATTATTCTGTATGTATTTTAACTTACATAAATGGTATCATATTGTATTAGTCTGCTCAGTCTGCCATAAAAAGCATGTTCACAGCCTGTAATCCCAGCACTTTGGGAGGCCGAGGCGGGTGGATCACGAGGTCAAGAGATCGAGAC